TGAACACTGTAGAGCCCTTTTTCGGGTCTTTTGCGGGTTAGCATGCCAACCCATTGTTAGGCTGCACTTGTTCCTATTGCCCTCTTACAACCTTTAATATCCATCATTGGTTCATACGTAATTTTTTTTCTCGGTTGTGACTGTGGTCACATTCGTAATCCCCGCCGTAATGATCGCTTCCTGTTACATCGCCATCATCTACATCATCTGGTCGAAGGGTCAGAGCATCGAACCGCACTGCACGGCTGAGAGAATCATTCTGCAACAATCAGGTACGTGTGTGTATGTATGTAGGGGGGGGGAGAGGGAGGGGTGGGTTTTTTAGGGGGAAGAGCGGAGGGGAGTGGTGGAGGGGGTGTCCTTCTTTCCAAAAAATGGTGCTGTTCCTTCTCTTACCCTCCCTTGTCCTCTTCTACCACTACTACTGCTGCTGCTGATGCTGCTGCTGCTACTACTACTACTTCTGCTGCTGCTGCTACTACTACGATTATTACTGGTACTACCACTAATACTAATACTACAACTGCTGGCACTGCTACTACTACTGCGACTATTACTACTACTATTATTGCTGCTACCACTACTACTACTACTACTACTACAACTACTACTACTACTACTACTACTACTACTTCTTCTACTACTACTACTACTACTACTACTACTACTACTACTACTACTACTATTACTGCTACTACTACTACTGCAGCTACTACTACTGTCACTACTACAGTTACTACTACTGTTACTACTACAGTTACTACTACTGTTACTACTACTGTTACTACTACTGTTACTACTACTGTTACTACTACTGTTACTACTAGTATTGCTGCTGCTGCTGCTACTACTACTACTACTACTACTACTACTACTACTACTACTACTACTACTACTACTACTACTACTACTACTACTACTACTGCTGCTGCTACTATTACTACTATTTCTTAAAATGTTGATGCTGCTGCTGCTATTACTGCTACAACACCTACTATTTCTACTACTGTTATTGTTAATCCTAGGACTATTTTTACTAATACAACTACTACTGCTGCTACCACCACCAACACAATCACCACCAATACTACTACTACTACAAAAACTAATACCACTACTACTACAAAAACTACTACTACTTTTAATGTTGCTGCTGCTGGTACTGCTATACTACTACTGCTACTACACATTTTTTACTACTACTACTACCACTATTACTACTGATGATGCTGCTGCTGCTACTACTACTACTACTACTACTACTACTACTACTACTACTACTACTACTACTACTACTACTACTACTACTACTACTACTACTACAATCTTCTTTGTTGTTTTCTGTAGGCTCGACGGCATCAGTACGTATGACCATCAATGACAGACGGCACGAGACTGGGCGGGGTATCATACCCCAGGCCAAGATCCGAACCATCAAAATGACCCTAATCATCGTCATCGGTAAGTACTCCCATTTAAGTCATCTTTGTTAGCAACATCCGCTCGATTACTACAAGATCCTACTGTGGGTTTCCGACCTCATTAATGCAGGATGGGGGTAAAAGATGGGGGAGGGGGAGGGAGAGGGTTAGAAAATAGACCCACTGCCTCTCACGCAAGCATGTCACAAAACATAAGGTTTTGTTCCAAAGTCGGAGCTTATCTGCCTGGGCGGCGAGGAACCATCAGGCTGCATACAAGTTAGCTTATTATGTAAAACAAGTGTGCACGCAAAAATTTGGAACGAAACGAAAGTCAGAAAGTGGATAAATAACCAGAATTTTCTTCAGGAGTTTACAGCGGGTTAACAGGAAGGAGAAGACTGCAACATAACTTTTAGAAAGGACAAACTGTATTTATGGTACCAGGAATGAGGGGCAGGGGCCGACCGACACGAAGATGGACACAGGATATAAGTGACACCTTGAGTATGAAAGTATATGAGGCAAGAGAACTGGCGAGAGACCGAGTTTCTTTCAGGCAGACTGTGATGAGAGCGACGTTCTGCAAAGGACCTGCTACATGATGATGATGGACAACTTATCGTGACTGACTACTTATATCAATGATAAACTGTATTTCCGATGTCGACTACTGGCTTTGGCACATCTAACAACTGCCTTATGAATTTACTGCGTGCACATATTTCTCGTTTGTGCCGGTACTAACTGTTTGTTTACTAGTTTTTCAAATGCGATAACCAGGGAAATTTCATTTGATTTTCACTGGCGCAGGAAGGGAGCCTGGATAGGTTGACTCGAATGCAGTGAAGCTGAAACCTCGACTATAACCACGACCGTCAAACTGAGTTAGAAACGTATAAATGTGAAAATATGGAGTAGTTTCAAAGGACAGACATCTGCAGTAATATATAGTAGTATGAGAGTGAAGTAAACATCCACGCATACACACACACAAACACACACACACAAACGTGGAACACAGAACTGCATAGAACATATTTATGTAGAAAAACATAACTATAAAAGAACACACATATCTGAAAGAAAGAAGAAGCAAAACATATAGATGTGAAACAAAGAACTGACAGGATATACAGATGTTAAATAAACAACTGCACAGAAAATACAGGTGTCAAATAAACAACCACACAGAACATGCATATGTCAAATAAAAAACCACACAGAACATACAGATGTCAAATAAATAACTGCACTGAACATACACATGTAACAGGTGCGTTCTAAAGAGAGCAGACAAATTTAATGGCGTGACAACGGAACATTAGCCCCAAGTCAATCTTCGCAGTGTTAGCCCGTAAAGATCTTAACTAATCAGAATGTGGCTAGCTTGAAGCAAAGAAAGTAATTTTTTTTTAAAAGTCCGAATTCTTTGACTTACAATATTTCTTGTGCGATCTGAATTTTCTATGCTCTGTTATGTTAATTTTCTCACAGCAATTTAGTGAGCTTTTAGATTTTCTGAAAAAAAATTTGTTGTGTTTTCCGAATTTTCTGACACCATATTTTCCTTGGTAGTCAAGGGCTAATAATAAATAAATAATTTGTCGTCCCTATATTGAAGGTTGCTAAAGTGCATTATCAAAACTCTATGTCCCTTGTTTTGGTTGTAGTTTTTCTAAAACATATATGGCTGAAATATTTATATTTCTTTATGAGCTTTTAAGTGCATTATCAAAACTCTATGTCCCTTGTTTTGGTTGTAGTTTTTCTAAAACAGACTTTCTGCTTGTTCATTACCCATGTCTTCGCCTCATGTCAGCAATGTTATTTTCACACAGTTACCCTTTACAATCGACTTTCTGCTTGTTCATTACCCATCATTCCGCCTCATGACAGCAATGTTATTTCCACATAGTCTTTACAGTCACCTTTTTGCTTGTTCATTACCCATGTCTCCGCCTCATGACAGCAATGTTATTTCCACATAGTTGGTCTTTACAGTCACCTTTTTGCTTTCCGCCTCATGACAGCAATGTTATTTCCACATAGTTAGTCTTTACAGTCACCTTTTTGCTTTCCGCCTCATGTCAGCAATGTTATTTCCACATAGTTAGTCTTTACAGTCACCTTTTTGCTTTCCGCCGTATGTCAGCAATGTTATTTCCACATAGTTAGTCTTTACAGTCAACTTTTTGCTTTCCGCCTCATGTCAGCAATGTTATTTCCACATAGTTAGTCTTTACAGTCACCTTTTTGCTTTCCGCCTCATGTCAGCAATGTTATTTCCACATAGTTAGTCTTTACAGTCACTTTTTTGCTTTCCGCCTCATGTCAGCAATGTTATTTCCACTTTCAGTGTTCATCCTCTGCTGGAGCCCTTACTTCCTCTACAACCTGCTGGATATCTACGAACTGATGCCATTAGACAACCCGCTGACAACCCTTATCCAGAGTGCCGCACCTCTTAACTCAGCTGCCAACCCCATCATCTACGGAATCTTCAGTACTCGAATCTGCAAAAATTTAAGGTAATGTGAGGTAGGCATCTGCTACCACCTGAATCAGTAACCACATAACCTGTAGCCAGTTACCTGTAACCATATACCTGTAACAATATACATGTAACCATATACCTGTAACCATCTGCTTGCAGGAATATACTTGTAACCATATACCTTAATCACATGTCTGTAGCCATATACTCGTAACCATCTACTTGCAGCCATATACCCGTAACCATACACCTGTAATCATATACCTGTAACCATATACCTGTAACCATATACCTGAATTTAAAAATGTGTAGCCATTTCTCATGTCTTTAATGTTATTTGTAAACCATGTGTGTGTGTGTGTGTGTGTGTGTGTGTGTGTGTGTGTGTGTGTCTATGTGTGAGTATGTGTGTGTGTGGTCACCTCATGACTTTAGGGGGGGGGGGGGGAGGGGAGGGGAGTATATCTGCTAATCTGCTATCATTTAGTCACTATGTGGCTTTTATGTCCTTTGCCCACATCGTTTTCTCACTAAGTCTTAGAAGTTCTACTTTTATTTATGTTTTGGTTGTTTTCTGTTTTTTGTTTTTTTGTTTTGTTTGTTTGTTGGGTATTTGTAACGCTGAAACAATCTTAATAAATATTTCACGTTTTCACATGTGGTGCGTTTCTTGATTTTCTTTTCAGGAGAATCCCGATGCCGTTCTGCCTACGTAAGCTGATTTGTCGTTGCAAGGAAACAAAAAAGTTGAGCCGCTTTGCATTTCGACGCCGCAGTCCCAAGCTGTTTGCCAGCCAGACCACAGACCCTACTCTAACCACCAACGAGGCACACAAGAAATGTAACCAGTGCCTGAATGATGTTCGATCGCCTCCCGCAAAAGCTCCGGATTGCCGCTATGCGTCAGTTCTCACTAAAAACTTCATGGATCGCGCCAATTTCGCGGAAACTGCTGGAGATTTGCCACTGCAGAGAGATCAAAATAAAAAGCGGACGTTGTTCCGACTTTCACGAAACAAAGGAATAGATGATAAGCCAAATGTTGAATATGAAATGACTCCGTTGTCCAGACAAGGTCTAGGCCATCTTGGAAGTAGCACTAGCGACGAGTCGACTTTAACAAGTGATTCCACAGGTCGTTTGCCTGCCTCCAAGCGAGTGCTGGATTTAAAGATTTTATGTGAGAGAAACGAGCAAAGTCCTCATTTTGCGGTCAGGAAAATGAACACTAAAGAGTCCATTATAGACTCATCCTCTGAAGAACAGAAAGATGAAGATAAGGACGATCATAATATGGATAATTCGTTTAATCAGATGAATTGTAAACATATTTCCGAAAAATCCTTATCAAATTGTAACGTTTCCACAACCCAGAAACAATCTTCTTCTGAAAGTCTGGATGTATGTCATAACGATGATGTAACTGCTGAGATCCAGCAGAGACAACAGAGTGACACTAGATATCCAGAAAGTCGCCATGGCTCGACCAGTCATGCCATACAAAACGAAGACCAGCAGTTTTTCTATCACGTTTTCCAGCAGGAAAATGACAATGGACAATTGCCTAACAACAATTCTACGTCAGACAATAAAGAGAATACAACATCCATTGGTATAACTAGAAGCAGACAGTCGGGAGTACAAGAACGAGTTTCTGACAGATCCTTAGCCGCCCGACGTCCTTCCGGTGTTCCCACCGTCAGACGCCGACTTAACTCCGATGACAACGCTCTTTTAAATAATATAGCTAACAAATGGTTGGTCAACGAGGTGAATGCTAATGAGCCCAGCGTTATTTAATGCGTGACGAAAATGCCAGTCATTGCACTACGTGCGTGCTCATAGAAGCTCGGTCTTTCTCCTCAGTCTTTCTGCTTGTTGCTGGCTGCCTAATTGAATCCAAAACTATTAGCAGTTATCGTTACTGGATTCAACACAATAATCAATTATTTACTTCAGCAGATGGTTACTTGCGTATCCTTTACAGGACGTTGCAGGACCAACCCCAACAGCTCCTTGCTGTTGTGTAGTTTTTCTAGGCATTTACGTCCACTAGTTTGCCATTGCCTCTTTACGGTCAGCTCTCTTGATACCACTGTCGAAACCAACGCAAGGCGCAAGGCTCGCAGCTGGGATCGAACACGCCATCCCGGCATTACGAAGCATTCGCATCGACTTAGCCACATAGCCGACACTTCAGCAGATACAATCGATAAAAATCATCGAGAGACTGCCACAGACCCAGCTTTCTATACTGCTGGCGTGCAACCGGACTCCCTTCTTCAGTGGAATTAATCCACTAAACCCTGACTGAGAAACTTAGCAAAAGGGGGTGAAGAGAAGCGGAACAATGTAAACACACAACTCAGCAACACCAAAAGAGCACCACATCCTGGCTGTCATTCCCCAGTCCATTAATGAATCTTATGAAGTAAGGACGTTGAACTCTGATTTATCGACCCGTATCATTATAACTGCAATATAAAATATAGATACTAAAATGTTAAATGAACTCTGATCTATAGATATATGTAGCGATAAATTGAAACTGTGGCGTTTAAAAATATTTATAAACGTTTTTGTGACTTTGTGTGACCGTGAGACTTTGAAATACGCCTTGAAGACATTGAACATTCAAGCACCTTAAAGAAAGGGTTGCTGCAGAAAATGCAGCTGTAACTGTGGACACGGTTCAGCTGTAACTCTGGTCACGGTTCAGCTGTATCTCTGGACACGGTTTAGTTGTACCTCTGGACACGGTTAAACTATAACTCTGTAAACGGTTCAGCTGTAACTCTGGACACGGTTAAACTATAACTGTAAACGGTTCAGTTGTAACTCTGGACACGGTTAAACTATAACTGTAAACGGTTCAGCTGTAACTCTGGACACCGTTTAGCTGTATCCCTGGACACGGTTCAGTTGTAACTCTGGACACGGTTTAGTGGTATATTTGGACACTGTGAAGAAGACATGGCAGGAGGTAAAATACCATTTAGATATCCACAGGACTACCATTGCGCACATACTGTAGTAAGACTAAAACTGAACACTTACGGAATATTTTAAGACGCCACAAGTGTATAGCAATTAAATACTATTTATTGGCTACAGAGTACGGGGACCAATCACGTATGGAAATTGTCTATTCTTTATTCATTTATTAATGCATTCAATTATTCATTCATTCATTCATTCATTCATTCATTCACGGGAGAGAACTTCTGTATTTGCAAAAATCCTCTAGTATATTTCTTATTCAAAGGGAGACAACTAGCCAATTTATTTACTCCCCTTGTTCATTTATTCTCAGGAAATGGGAAACAACTCTTGTTTAGACTTAAAATGTTGAGAATTTAAGGCGAATAAAATTCAGGGAATTAATTATATTGAACTGTGTGTGTAACAAAAGGAACAGCGATGGGTAGTCGGTGTGGTTTTTGGGCCAACCATAGGGCGATCTTTTTTTTTTTTTTGTAACATAAACCTCTTTAGGTTTAGGTTTAGACGACGGAACATTATCTTGCATAAATATCCTGTCATCCCTTTTTTATGATGCAATTTTTCGTTGTTTAAAGCCCTACTCTGACTCTTGCTAGGAGCCGCAGTAAAGCCCGGCCATAAATATGGTCTAATGGCTGAACGCGGTTTCTGGGACCCCTCCACGGGTGATTCTCATCTACATGGTGGCACTTTGTGTCATCGGGTGTTTATCGCTTGTGTGATGGTGAAAGAAGATAGAGATAGATAGGATTATCATCGTGGCACAAGGAGCAATTCACAAGTGCTCCGTTGCCCCGTTATACTTCTGACTTAAGCACGAGTCCAAAAATTCTCAGCACAGTGCGCGAACTCCGTACCACCAGCGAGGATCCTGAATTACTTTTTTTTTAAAATTTTAATCGTAGAATGTTGCCTGGGCAGCTCCGCAAGGCTACTCTTTTCGATATCCAACTGCCAGGGTTATTTAACATGCGCAGCAATACACATGAGCCTCTGATCTTGCTACCCAGAGACCAGGGAAAATTACTAGAAATCCAGGTGAAAAACATCCCAGCCTTCACCCGGGTCTGAACCAAGGACCTCAAGCACTCGAGGCGGACACCATGCCTCCGGACCCCGCAGCCCCATCCACCTACCCCGCCCCACCTTACCCCTCACCCTCTGTTAAACCTGTGATTATCTGTGTGTTTGATGACACATTGTCATACAGGTATAGAAAACATTCTATCATTATGTAAATATGTAAATGCCTACAATCAGAGTGTATATATATATATATATATATATATATATATATATATATATATATATATATATATATATATATATATATATATATATATATACACATAGATATTTGAAATAATATATACCCTGCGTGAACTATTATTTCGTCCCTGTCCCAATATGGAACACAATGTTTTGTTACTATAAAGCCCAACCCCGGCTGTTGTTGGGGGCACTAAATATGACCTACGTGTTAAACTGGGTTTCTGGGAGCTGCGCCCAGGTGGTTTTCATCCGAATGGTGACACTTTGTGTCACTGGGTGTTTATCACTCGAGCTTTGAGTGCATAACTTTTTTTTAAGCTGAAATGCTGCTGCAGAACTCTCCGTATGGGTTCCGGGGTCCTATGATAGGGAGAAAACAAGAATAGACCAACTGCCTACCCAAAAGCATGTCGTAGGAGGTGGCTAACTGGGAGCTTCCTTCTAAGTCGGAATGCATCTGCCTGAGAGGCAAGGAAGCAGCAGTCTGCATACAAATTGGTCAGATATGTCAAACGGATGCACACGCAACACTTTGGTTTTGAAACTGGACTGCAGTCCAGAAGTGGACAAACAACCAGAACTTTCCGCCGAAGTTTACAGCTGGTGAAGGCGAAGAAGAAGAAGATTACCCAGACAAATGTATATACTGTTTTTAGGTCGTGTCCACCTGGTATCCCAGTTCGTTGAAATATATTTGGCATGGCTGGGAATATACTGATGTGTGGGTATATAATGATGTGTAGGAATATACTGATGCGTGGGTATATAATGATGTGTAGGATTATACTGATGTATGGGTATATAATGATGTGTAGGAATATACTGATGTGTAGGTATATAATGATGTGTAGGATTATACTGAAGTGTGGGTATATAATTATGTGTAGGAATATACTGATGTGTAGGTATATAATGATGTGTAGGATTATACTGATGTGTGGGTGTATAATGATGTATTAGAATGTACTGATACGTGGGTATATACTGATGTGTGGGCATATACTGATGTGTGGGCATATACTGATGTGCGGGAATATACTGATGTGTGGGTATATACTGATATGTGGGTAATACTGGTATGTGAGAATATTCTAGTGCATGCGTATCTACTGATGTGCTGTGTTTCCACCTTTCCATCTTTCCAGATGATAGTGTTTTATTATACTACACTGAGGAAAGGGAGTCATAGCCTATGGCTATGGCGAGTGTGACTCGGAAAACCCTCTTGATTTAAGAAAAGTCTTCCGCTGTTAGACTGTGCGATTTCAGGAACTGCATTGTTATTGCATCTATTAAAGAAAGTGCTTCTTCTCAGATCATCAGCTCTTAAATTATTATTGTTATAATTATTAAATTATTATATCATTAATTATGCCGTCTAAAGTGAGTATGTAAATCCAGTGCTATTTTGTAGAGCCTCCCCGACTGACCGGCCAGGGCTGTTGAACAAGTTTTACACTGGAACCAAAATTTGAAAATGGGGAATCCCCGAAGCTACCAGCGTTGTAAAATCATTAATATAACTAGCAATGATCCACGGACCACTTGCTAGGTCTCCGCGGGCCAGCATTGATCCGTGTGCAGCCTGTTGAATAGCCCTGGCCACTGAATGCACACCCGAGGATCCGAAGCTCGTGGGATCAGGTCCAGACAGAGCCAGACTTTTTCAGAAATGACCTTGACTTTCAGGTCGAACGTGCCCTAAATGGCTACAAGGTAAAGTCCTTGAAAGTAAAGGCGGCCGGCGTAATGTGGACTACATCATTCGCCAAGTGCCGATTGGGCTGTAAAATTTAGTTCTAGCACTTTATGCCCAATACGCCTGAAAGCGTTGAAGACGGACCTTTATTATTATTTTGTTTGTTAAATTTGTACGACATCGTTTCCCTCTTTAGTATATGCGTTGTATGGTATGGCGTCTCAATGCATTTTCTATAAATAGACAAACCATTTTGGACAAACCATTTGATTTGCTATCTTTGTACGTAATTTAGAGGAGCGGCTGGCCGAGCGGTGAGATCGCTGGGCTCTCACGCGGAAGACCCGAGTACGAATCTTCGATAAGGCTTGGAATTTTTCTGTTGCAGGCTTAAAAAAAATTCTACCCTGCACAATCGTGGCGACAGCACTAGCCATGCGGCCGCAAATCCTCAGACTTAAAGACCCCTCACCCCCCCCCCCCTTTCCACCCATCCTGTCTACACCGCAGAAGTGGTAAAATAAAGGCAGTAATTGGAAGTCCTTAATTTAAAATTGGGCCTCCCTGTGTGGGTTCTGGGGCCCTATTATAGGGAAAACAAGAATAGACCCACTGCCAACCCATAAACATGTCGTAAGAGTCGACAAATTTGGAGCTATCTTCGAGGTCAGAGTGCATCTGCCTGATAAGCAAGGAACTAACAGTCTGCGCTTAAATGAGTCAGATCTGTCAAACGGATGCACATGCAACACACAGGTTCTGAAACAGGACTGCAGTCCAGAAGTGGACGAACAACCAGAACTTTCCGCCGGAGTTAACATCTGGTAAACGCGAAGAAGAAGAAAAAGAAGAAGAATTGGTTCTGTGCCAACTGTTTATCTTATGGCCTCATTCCTGATTGTGTCTCTTCTGGTTACTCCAGCAGCCATTTTCAGACATCACATTTCCATGGTTACTAGCGGGCTTTTCTAGTCTGCTATGAGTGGCCATGTTTGGCACTGGTAGCACAAACTGTAAATGCCTAAAACTGCCTAAACTATAAATTAATTTTTCAATGGTTAGTGAATTATGTGAATTTACAATGTTGCTTAATTATGTGAATCTGTAATGTTGGTGAATTGTATGAATGTATAATGTTATTAAATTACGTAAACGCACAATATCAGTGAATTATGTGAATGTTCAATGATGGTGAAAAATGTGAGTGTTCAATGTTGGCTAATTATTTAAATGTTCTATGTTGGTGAATTATGTGAATGTTCAATGTTGGTGAATTATGTGAATGTTGAATGTTGGTGAATTATGTAAATGTTCAATGTTGGAGAATTATATCCTCTCCTTCTTCTGAGCGTTCAGCAGCTGTAAACTCAGGAAGAAAATTCTGGTTATTCGTCCACTTCTTGACTTTAGTCTTTTTCTAGAAATAGAAAATTTGCGTGAACATCCATTTTACAGATCAGACTTATTTTGATGCAGACTATTGGTTCCTCGCCTCTCAGACAGATACATTGCGACTTCAAAGAACACTCTCATAATTATTCGCCTTTTACGACATGCTTTATAGGGACAGTGGCTCTATTCTTTTATTTTTCTTTACCCAAAATGACCCCTACCTCATATTCCACACACGAAGGTGAATTATATGAATGTACAACGTTAGCGAAATGTCTGAATACACGATGTTAATGAATTATGCTAATGCAAAATGAATCTTAACAGCTGAACTTGAAAGAAAGATACACGCATTAGAAATGCGA